ACTCCAGGGACGCCTGAGTGGCTCAGTCGGTTAAGCCACTGCCTTCAGCTCAGGTCATGATCCCAGGGTCCTGGGATCAAGTCCAGCATTGGGCTCTCTGCTCAGCAGGGAGCCTGCTTCTCTCTCCGTCCGCCTCTGCCTGCCACTCTGCCCACTTGTGTGTTCTCACCCGCGTGTGCACGCACCCTCTCTCTGTCTTCCTGACAAATAAATAAATAAAATCTTAAAACAAAAAACAAAAAAACAAACTCAAGACTTCTTTTAAAATAAGCTTTCCTTGATCCTTCTCCCCACAACCCCCGCCCCCCAACCTGCTACCTTCTTTCTCTACCAGTGAATCTCCAAATTGGAAAAGCTCCCTCCCTCGACACTGGACAGAACTGATCACGTCTTCATTCTGAAATATTCCCTCCCTTCCCTTCCAAGATTCCCCTGCACTCTCCTGGCTCTTATCCTACTCTCAGCTGCTCCTTAGTTTCATCCTCTTCTACCTGACCATTCAACACTGGAGTTTTTAAACTCCTTGGCCCACTTCTCATCCATTCTCTCTCTCCCTAGGCAATCTCATTCACGCCCACGGCTTCTACAAAACCCCTGTGCAGATCGTCTCAGAGTTGTACTCCCGGGTCAGACTTCTCTCAACGGCCACTGAAATAACTCAAAAGCGCTTTAAGCTCAACATGTTTAAGACCAAACCCATGATTTTGCCCACACAAACCTAATTCTCCTTCTGTGTTTCTATCTTACAGAATGGCCCAACCACCCACCTGTGCAGCAGAAGTTGGAAGTCTGGGTGTTATCTTTTGCACCCTTTCTGCATTCAGTCCTGCCCCATATTCCCCTGCCAAAGTCTGTCCTCTACAGAAGGAGAGAAACCTCTCCAAAATGAAAATGGATCCTGGTAATTGCTGCTTAAAATCAACTGCTCTTTAGAGAAAAAGCAAACATTTTCCTGTGGCTGCCAAGGCACTGAGACTTAGCCCCCACTTTCCTCCCAGGCTCCACTCCTCTCTCTCTCTCTCATGGTCCGCTCCACATGCTGCCTCCTCTCAGTCTCTCAAATGTAATCTGCTCCCTGCCTGCACAGGACCCTTGCACCTGCCATTCCCGCTGCCTGAAGTTCCTTCCCTCCCCTGTCTCCCAGTTAACTTCTACTTTCCCTTCAGAACTCAGATCAACTATACCTTCCTTCACTTAGTAAACAGCAACTGAGTGCCTACCAGGTGCTACTCTAGGCCCTGGAGAGGCATGACAAGGAGCTGTAACTTAGGGGGATACAGAGTGAGATTGAGGTTCAGAGATTTCTTTGGGAAAGCCATCCTTGACCAGGTCAAAGTCCCCTATTTATAACACCATCTATCTCACCTTCATAAAATTTAGCATTGTTACAAATATTCATACATCTATTTGATTATATGACCAATACCAAACTCCACTATTGGAGTATACATTCCAAGAGGGCAGAGGCTCTCTCTCACTGTTCAACACTGAATCCCCAGCGCCTAGCACAGAGCAGAAACTCACTAAGTATCTACTGAGTGACTGACTAAACCGTGCAGCGGCCAGTACAGACCACAATCCCCTGCACAAGGTCGGGGCTTATAGTGGGCTTTCTCAGCAGACAGGGTGAGCACTGCTCCCTCTGCTGGACTCTCACACATGTGTGTCTAGGACTTTCCACGCACTAGGTGTCCCTTTGCATGGAGCACCTGGTCTCACTATCATGGCCCCTGCCTTTCACTAGATAATGAGCTGTTGTCTTCTCTGCACTTAGCATAATGGCTGGCACACAGCAGATGCTCCATAAATAACTACGGCTGGAAGAAATGTCTGACTGCCTCCTATGCCCAGCAACCAGCTGAGTACCTGGCTCTCGGCACGTACTCACTCCTTGTTGAATGGTACAATATACTGACCTTCCTAAGCACTCACCATGTACCAGGCACTGAGCTAAGCACTTTATCCTTATCATCTCATTTAGTCCCCACAACAATCCTGTAAGGGGTTCACCACCCCCTTTTACCAACAGGGAAAGTGTATCATTGACAACCTGTTACAGCGCCTAAAGTTCACGGATTGCAGTCGCTCGAATACTACATCACAATTTTTGCCATAGTATATATCCTATTTACTTCAAATTTTCAGTATAATGAATACAAAACTCCCACCATTGTTCTTAAATCTTACAGAAAGCTAAGCAATATATCTACAAAATCACCATTCTCATGTGCTTATGGTTTTTAAATACACGTGTACAGTACCTGACTATTAAAATGAAAGATGTTCACTCTTCGTAATACCTAAAATCAACTCTCATCCCACACCCTGCTGTTCCTAGAACTGCTTTCTATCCTCATCTTCTAATTAAGCCCCATTCCTCTTGGTTTTGCTGCTAAAATCTCTGTGGCAGAATACGGGGCTTTTCTGTAAAACCACCACTTGTCCATCAAGTCATCATGGTGGGGAATGTAGAGAGAGTCTGTCTGCTTCCATTGAGATCATAACCATTTAGATTCCCTCTGTGGAAAACTAATCCCACTAAGGTGACAAGCTAGAAAACAGAGCAGTTACAGTTCATGGGCAGGGAAGCCCCGAACATTCAAAGACTGCTATGGGATGCTTGTTGTTCAAATGCACTAGAGAAAATGAAACCTGAACTTCCAAACAAGATAAAAAATCCCACATTTGCCCGTAACAAATGCTGAGCCCACAAAAGGCTGCTAAGATAGCCAGGAAAGAACTTTTCAATTAAGATATTTTTCTCTTTACAACGAGTGAATGTCATGCTGGTAACAACTTCAGAAGTTTTTAAGAATAAAATTAATCCACTTAGCTTTTGAAAAGTTTTGTCACTGGCTTTAATTACTTACTCTCCAGTCAGTAATTTCTTTCCCTCTGGAATACTGTATTCAAACCCTAAGAAAGCCGATCTTATCTTGCTAATATACAGCAGATGCTTTAAAAGAAATTGGGTTATGAGAGACCACAATGGCATCTTTTCAGATGGTTCATTCAAACCTGCAGGTTTTTTTCTCCATTCTAGACAAGTTTCCGAAGATTCATATCCTAGAATAAGTCCATTTAAATGCAGAAGGCCCATTTAGAAGTCTTCATTTATATCGGATTTCCTTAAACAGGGCAAGGGCAAGTTGGTAGTAATGTTATACAAGGCAAACAAGGCATCCTGCTAGTTTGATCTTCACAATAATCCTAGGAGAAAACTATCACTGTCCCCATTTTACACATGAAAACACTGAGGTGTAGGGCAATTAAACAGCCTGCTCATGGTTGCAGAGGTATTAAGTAGAAGGATTTAGATCTGAACACAGTTCTTTCGATCCCAAGCACGTGCTCTTTCTACCTGCAGGCTTTCTTCAAGAGACTAGAAACATCAAAGTACAGTTTCAGCCTTTATTCACTCCTTGTGGGGTACCTACCAAGCACCAATGTGTGAGCCCCATAAATAAAGAAGCTTACAATCTAATATAGAAATGACTACAGTACAACCAAGGAAGTAACCAGCTTCCTAAGAAAGGGACGTAGGAAAGAAGTGCTCAAGAGGAGGAGGAGCTTTCGTTGTGTGCCCACTAGGAACCAGGCACTACACTAGATTCTTCGCATGCATTATCTCATTTAATCCTGTCACTATTCTACGATGTAAGGATTATTGGTCCACCTTTTACAGATGAGGCTCAGGGAGGCTCGTAACTAACCCAAAGTCACACAGCAAGTAAGGAACAGAGCTGCTGTTCATACTAACTAATTAACTAGCTAACTAACTCCAAAATGGATATACTCTCTTTGTATTTTTTCCTGTTCTGGGATTTTGAGGAAGAAGACTTTCTTTTTTGCTTGGAAGGAAATGGGAAAGATTCTGTTGTAGAAGGTGGCATCAGATTGAGGCACTGACAGTGATATCATGACATGAGACTAGGGATCTCACTGGGGATCCTTGGGGATCTTCCCCAAGAGATTATGAGAGACCAAAATAATGTGACCTAAAACTGAAGGAGAGCAGGGTCAAATACTGGGCAAAATGTATACAAAACATCAGCCTTAGGAAAAGTAGCCCCAAAGTCGCTAATGACTAACCATATGAAAATGAGTAGGGTGTAAATGACACAGAGAATGTAACTGACTAGGAGCCCTGTCTTTAACAAAGCTTCCAGTTTAAAAACATTTTGATTTTACTTAGTCAAAACAATCCCACCCCCACCCCCAAAAAGCTGGGAAACAACTGAACTAACTATTCTGCAACAGGGAATCGGTGTCCCCAACCTCTTGCTAAATAATTAACAGGAGGCCAGGCACGCTCCACCCTTTTTGGGGGGTTGCAACTGAATGGGGGACACAAACAAACAAAAAATACATAGACCGTTTTAAATGAGGAGTTTCGGTGTTAAAGGAGAAAACTACATATACCGTTACTCTCAAGTTTGGTCAACATCCTCAAGTCAGTCACAACATTTAAGTTCGAAACGAAGAGGAAAATTGCTCAGTTCTTTTCCTATAAGGTGCTTCTCCTTCACCCAAGCCTTTTGCAGAGGAGTAGAGTCTGATTCCTAGAATGCTCCCCGCTCTGAGCACCCACGTCTCCCACCAGATGCTGTCTCACAACTTCAAGGGATCCCGTAAGCCCTCTTCCGGTGCAGAGCCCCCACTGCCAACAGCTCACCGTGCTCAACAAGGGATGTACATGGCTCGCTGGCCTCACGGCTCCCTCAGTCATCTCCTAACCCTGGCTGCAGCCTCTCACTTCAAAAGCAATTCTGTCTTTCTAGGGCAGTGCGTTCATGCTCTGCCTCAGTGTCGTGAGGAACACGGTGTCCAGATGAGCCCATCAGGACAGGGACCTTGCCTGCCTCAGTTCAATACCGCGTCTGTGGTGCTCGGCAGAACCCATGGCTCATACGAGGCGCCCAGAAAAGACTTGCTGAACCAGTGGATGAACAGTCTCCACCACAAATGAAGCCTGAGACGCGCTCGACACGACAACTTACGCTAACACAGTCTCCTCCTTGCTGAGGCGAGCGGTAAGGGCGCTGAGTGCTTCTTGGGAAGCCAAGGGAAGGCCAAAGCCGCTGAGGGCGGCCACAGCATGGTAGATCTGGGTAACAGATGAGTCTTCACTGACAGCTGCCAGGAGCAGATCTTTGGTCTCATTTGAAATAGAGATCTAAGAAAGGATTGGCAGACACAGTTTTAGAACAGGTGCTGGCAGTCTATGGCAAACAACACAGGGAGGGACTGCCCAAGTCACACTACCCGGCGGCGCACGATCGTCCCCCCTTCGGCTCCTCAGACGCCAGAATTCAGTGTCTGTGGGAATGCCGCACAACACTTTTGAAAAGATTCTGGCAAGTCACTGGTCTACTTATATGGGTCCCCTCTGTTCGATAAATTGGATTTCCAGAACTCTGGTATGAGGGGCATTCTTCCTTTACTTTGAACATTTTTAAACATTAAAGGAAGATGGAAGGAAAAATCAAGGCTTCCCAGAAGAGAGGCAATATAGGAGAAAGTTATTTAAAAGGCACAAAAAGTGAAGACTTGGGGAAAAAGTAAACTCCATTTTCTTAAGAAAAATAAAATCATAAGAATGGAACTTCCACCCACACTAATGGATTCTCATTGTTTAAAAAAAAAAAAAAATTAATCTGACACAACCCTCCCTCTTTAAAAAAACGTTTTATGGTTTAAAAGTAAATATAAAGGTAGAAGCTAGACTCACCACGCACCCCGAGAGGGCCTGGCTGGACTGGGCAGCATAGAAAAGGGAATCCACATTGCCTGGATCAAGGTTTGACTTAATGAAGGTGCACGCTTTCTAAATAGGGGTGGAAAGTCAGTGATAAGTGGTGATATACACAGAGACTGGGAAAGTATACATGTTTTTTTTTTTTTTTGAAGATTTTATTTATTTGACAGACAGATATCACAAGTAGGCAGAGAAGCAGGCAGAGAGAGAGGAGGAAGCAGGCTTCCTGCTGAGCAGAGAGCCTGATGTGGGGCTCGATCCCAGGACCCTGGGATCATGACCTGAGCAGAAGGCAGAGGCTTTAACCCACTGAGCCGCCCAGGCACCCTATACATGCTTTTTGATGACAAAATTCTAAGCAATCTGTGATGGCTTAAAGTATGAGCTATGCAAGAGTTCATGTTTTAAGCAGGTATTTTCCACAGGACACTGTATTACACAAAATTGCTGAGTTCATGCCAAAAGCAACAAACCTCAAGTACTTTAGTCCTTCTGAACCCTAGAAAAAAAGGAAAGAAACCACTTCCACTGACCACCTGCTCTGGCCATAATCTGTGCTGGAAGTTTATGATATTCTTCCTTTTAATGAACACCTAAGAACCCTGTGGTAGATATTATCATTCCCATTTAACAGAAAAAGAAACTGAGGCTCAGAGTAGTAAGTTACCTGGTGAAGGTGACAAAGCTAAGTGTCTCCTCTGATTCTAAATGTACTGGGGTCTCCACTTAGATGTCTTCAAAGCTAAGTCAGGTTCAACACATCTAAAATGAGCCTGAAACCTTCTATTTGTTCTTCTGGGCTTCCCAGCTTATGTATAGGCATCACCACGTACCCAACTACCTGAGGCAGAAACCTGGGAATCATTCTTGACTTTTCCCTTACCCTACAGGCCTAGTGAGCTTACCTCCCTTCTCATTTTTCAAACCCAATCCCCACCCTCTGGCTTCTCTCATGGCCTTATTTCAGACACTTGCCATCTCTCACCTAGATTGTTACAATCATCTCCTAACTGGTCTCAAATTACATAGTCCATTCTGCATACTGACTGCTCAAGGGTAATCTTGACAAAATACAAATGCAACCATGTTACTTTGCTGTCAAAACCCTTGGATAGTTCCTTATTATCCTCAGAACAAGATTCCAAGTTTCTGATACAGGATAAAATGCCCTCATGACTGACATTCATTTTCAGTGCCAGCTTTATCACCATACCACCCACCTCGAATTCCCAAATCTTGCCCTCCAGCCTACTGTGGCGACCCAAAGACACCAAGATCTCAGCATTTATGTGACTCTGCTATTCCCACCGCTGGAAGCATGTGTCTGTTGTCCCTACCGTCTGCCAAACCAGCTCCTATCTGCATCTCTGCTCATTCAAGTTAGGCCATTCAAGTTAGGCCAGGTGCCTTCCCTCCAGAGTGCTCCCCCAAAGCACTTACCATATGGTACTAACTACCTCCCCCTACAACCAGTTACCTAAGAGCAAAGACTTTGATAAACCCCAATCACAGCATCTGCTGCAAAGTAGGCACATTATAAAACCGACACTATTCTTACTGTATCAAACTCAAAGACATATTATTTAATAGTTCTATCACTAAATATTTTGATTGAGGTAACATAAAATCCACCTATTCATAATTAAATGGCAATGAAATAGTTAAAAGTGGGTGCTTCTGAGGAGTAGGACAGGGTGTAGGGCAAGGTGGGCCATGTATGTAATAGGTTCCTGCTTTCTACTAACTGCTGTGCTGTATTATCTGATGTTTAACTGTGTACACGTGCTACTCTAACCAAAAACCTATTTTTTAATTTTATGAATAAAATTTAAATTGCAGTCTCAAAACAAATGAGTTTCAACCAAAAGTTCGAAAGAAACCAAAGAGGGATGCCTGGGTGACTCGGACGGTTAAGTGTATGCCTTCGGCTTGAGTCATGATCCCAGGGTCCTGGGATCAAGTCCCGCATCCGAGGGCTCCCTGCTCAGCAGGGAGCCTGTTCTCCCTCTCCCCTCTGCTCCCCATGCTTGTGCTCTCTTTCTCTCTCTCTCTGACAAACAAATAAATAAAATCTTAAAATAAGAAAGAAAGAAAGAAACTAAAGAAAGGAATACTTCACACTGCACAAATTAGGGGTTTGAAGAAAACAATGAGCCAAGGAATCCCTCAGCAGACTGTGGGTAAGCTTAAGACATGTGCTTTGTCGCCATCTGGTGCTTCAACGATAGAATAACAGCATCTGAGACCCCAAACAGGGATTATGGTCATTGCTACCCCTTTTTGAGAACCTAAAATGTGTCAACGCTGTTCTAAGTGCTTTATGTGCATTTCTCATTATGCATTAGGTCCTCCTATTATCTTAAGTTTATAGACAAGAAAACTGAGGCATCAGAGAGTCAGAGTGACTTATCCAAGGTCACTCAGCTCTTACTGGAGGAGCTAGAATTCAAACCCAGGCACCCTGGCTCCACAGTCTGAGCTGTACAACCTCTCATTTGTGCTGGCAGAAAACCAGTAACATGCCAATTCTAAATCTTCGCCCGGACAAATCAAGGTAAATAGTATGAGCAGTCAGTGGCTTCCAAGCTCCCAATGTCAACTTGGTTTTAAAAGCAGCAGCAGAAGGGAGAGAAGGCCCCAGGAGACACACTCTGGAGGCTCAGTAAGCCCACCCAGGGCTGAGGCCTCAGCTGGCCACTGTAACTTTGACTTCAGCTGTCCTCATCCCAGATTCATCTTCCCGACTGACGCCTGCAAATCACCCCCTAAATGTCCTTCCCTATCTGCTCCTCTCCAACTTTCTGTGTCCTCTGTTGAGACTCCAATCAGCTAAACGTCCTCCTGAGTGAAGTGCATCAGTGCTTTTCTCTACCCATGCTTCCCTCCAGTTCCCTGAACAGAATCAGGAGCCAAGAAAAGAGAGCGGAATCTCCCAGCTACGCTTACCTCTCCCTTATTTCCTCCATTAACGTCTCCCAACTACTCTTTTTTTTTTTTTGAAGATTTTATTTATTTGACAGACAGAGATCACAAGTAGGCAGAGAGGTAGGCAGAGAGAGAGGAGGAAGCAGGCTCCCTGCTGAGCAGAGAACCCGATGCGGGGCTCGATTCCAGGACCCTGAGATCATGACCTAAGCCGAAGGCAGAGGCTTTAATCCACTGAGCCACCCAGGCGCCCCTCCCAACTACTCTCTCACACCACGTTCTGTATTCTTGCCAGACTCTGTTATGGCGTCATGCTGTTGAGGCATACCCAGACGAGAGCCCCCGCAACAGGTCCTTTGTAACTGGGCCCACCTTTTTTATATGCACTTCTTACCACCCTTCTCCCCACACCTCTGCTCCAGCTGCCCCGGAAAACCAACCCACTGCCCCCCAACACCCAACAAGCACAGTTAAGCCTCCAGGCTTAGTACAGGCTCTTCTCTCCATCTGGAAGCCCATTCACCTTGTCAGTTCAACTTCTCCCTTTCAACTGGTAATTTCCGACATATTAACAAAACTCCAGGGACGCCTGAGTGGCTCAGTCGGTTAAGCCACTGCCTTCAGCTCAGGTCATGATCCCAGGGTCCTGGGATCAAGTCCAGCATTGGGCTCTCTGCTCAGCAGGGAGCCTGCTTCTCTCTCCGTCCGCCTCTGCCTGCCACTCTGCCCACTTGTGTGTTCTCACCCGCGTGTGCACGCACCCTCTCTCTGTCTTCCTGACAAATAAATAAATAAAATCTTAAAACAAAAAACAAAAAAACAAACTCAAGACTTCTTTTAAAATAAGCTTTCCTTGATCCTTCTCCCCACAACCCCCGCCCCCCAACCTGCTACCTTCTTTCTCTACCAGTGAATCTCCAAATTGGAAAAGCTCCCTCCCTCGACACTGGACAGAACTGATCACGTCTTCATTCTGAAATATTCCCTCCCTTCCCTTCCAAGATTCCCCTGCACTCTCCTGGCTCTTATCCTACTCTCAGCTGCTCCTTAGTTTCATCCTCTTCTACCTGACCATTCAACACTGGAGTTTTTAAACTCCTTGGCCCACTTCTCATCCATTCTCTCTCTCCCTAGGCAATCTCATTCACGCCCACGGCTTCTACAAAACCCCTGTGCAGATCGTCTCAGAGTTGTACTCCCGGGTCAGACTTCTCTCAACGGCCACTGAAATAACTCAAAAGCGCTTTAAGCTCAACATGTTTAAGACCAAACCCATGATTTTGCCCACACAAACCTAATTCTCCTTCTGTGTTTCTATCTTACAGAATGGCCCAACCACCCACCTGTGCAGCAGAAGTTGGAAGTCTGGGTGTTATCTTTTGCACCCTTTCTGCATTCAGTCCTGCCCCATATTCCCCTGCCAAAGTCTGTCCTCTACAGAAGGAGAGAAACCTCTCCAAAATGAAAATGGATCCTGGTAATTGCTGCTTAAAATCAACTGCTCTTTAGAGAAAAAGCAAACATTTTCCTGTGGCTGCCAAGGCACTGAGACTTAGCCCCCACTTTCCTCCCAGGCTCCACTCCTCTCTCTCTCTCTCATGGTCCGCTCCACATGCTGCCTCCTCTCAGTCTCTCAAATGTAATCTGCTCCCTGCCTGCACAGGACCCTTGCACCTGCCATTCCCGCTGCCTGAAGTTCCTTCCCTCCCCTGTCTCCCAGTTAACTTCTACTTTCCCTTCAGAACTCAGATCAACTATACCTTCCTTCACTTAGTAAACAGCAACTGAGTGCCTACCAGGTGCTACTCTAGGCCCTGGAGAGGCATGACAAGGAGCTGTAACTTAGGGGGATACAGAGTGAGATTGAGGTTCAGAGATTTCTTTGGGAAAGCCATCCTTGACCAGGTCAAAGTCCCCTATTTATAACACCATCTATCTCACCTTCATAAAATTTAGCATTGTTACAAATATTCATACATCTATTTGATTATATGACCAATACCAAACTCCACTATTGGAGTATACATTCCAAGAGGGCAGAGGCTCTCTCTCACTGTTCAACACTGAATCCCCAGCGCCTAGCACAGAGCAGAAACTCACTAAGTATCTACTGAGTGACTGACTAAACCGTGCAGCGGCCAGTA